TCAGTGATGTTAATTTATTTCTTTTTGCTTTATTTTTTAACCAATTAAATAGATGCATTTATTTTAACTGTTAAATTAATATTAATAGTTATTTTATCCCAAAAAAAAGTAAAATTACATAGTATTTGTTTTCTTAATGGAAGTGTATATGCCAAAAATTTAATGCGACTGAAACCACAACCACCTATGCATTGGGTATGCGATTGCTGTGCAGAAGAGGTCGATAACCAATACATTCAAAATAAATAAAAAATGCGATGCAAAAGTTGATGTAAACCCCACGAAAGGCACTTGAAAGAATATTGACCAATATACTCCACCTGAACTGAAAATGCAGTTTATGTTTCTGATGAATGAAAATTCAATAAAAAAAAATTGTAAAGCCAAAAAATATCACTTATTTAACATATTCTTTCTAATATTAATTTTAAAAAATATTAAATAAATATTAAATTTTAATTTTATTAAAAATAAATAAACATTATTAATTGTTGTTAAAAAATAATAATTAATGAATAATAATTCATTTGATCCCTCAATTGTAATTAAAAGTTTATTTTAATATTTTTTATATTTTTAAACAATTAATTTTAAAAGTCAATAATTTTTCAAAAATATATGAAATTTATAATTTTTTAAATTATAAAATATTTCTTATCATCGTCATCATCATTTTGTAAAAAAAATACTAGTTATAAAACTTTTATAAAATTATTCATATTTTAAATTACTTATCCTCAAAGTTTTACTATACTAGATTATACATCTTGTGTAATTTCATGAAAAAATTAAAATTTATCGAGTTATAAAATAATTTGCAAAAGAATATTTAAAGATTTAAATGAAGATTTTTTTTTTTGCTTACACAAAAAATAAATAAAAAAAATTTGACGTTTTTACAAAAAATTTACCGTAACAGAAATTAATTACATATTAGACACTATTTTTAAAAACATTACGAAACTAGCACCAAGTCTTTACACGTGTCGTAAGGTGCGGCGATGGCGTAAGGCGCGGTGCATTGGCCGTGCCTTTTTGCAAAGGGTGTTAAATCTGTAATATTTTCTCTAACGGTGTTTGACACGTAAATAATTAAAAAAAATAAGTGATTTTTTGAGAAAACAATAAGTGATTTTTTGAGGAAAAAAATCACCTTTTTAGAGAGAGTTTTTTTTTAAATATATTAATATACTTTTAAATGGTCTTGAATGATTATAAATAATTATTTGTTCATAGTCGTTATTAATTATTAATAGCTTATGTACTTTACAAATATAATTACTCGAACCTCAATACTATAAGAAGAGCAACACTTCTTTAGAAAAACTAGAAAGTTTTCTTCATATTTTTCCAAGCTAACTACGGGTTAAGTTTTTTTTATTAGTATGTTACTATTATAAGACCAACTCTAGCGCATCGTTGGAGTGGTTGTAATCTTCATTTTGGAGATGAATTTCAACTCCAGCCCATCGCTACTTTAATGTTGGATTGTGGCGACAGCTACAGTTGCACGCTACAACTGGCGTTACACTGTAGTTGCACTACATATTATATTTTTTTGTTATTTTTCTGATTTTTAGTTTTTGTTATTTTTTTACTTTCTTTTATTATTTTCTTTTTCTTTTCCTTCTTTGTTACATTATTTTCACTTATTCTATCTTTTTATGTTTTTTATTGTAATTTTTACACAATAAAATAAAAATTAAACATAATATAATAAATTCAAATAGATTAAATTGCAAGATATATAAAAATATATTGAAATTAGATAAATAAATACACTAATTTTTTTATTTGTATTTTCGCAATGTTATTTATAAATGTTTTATTTATGCTTTTTATCTTGATATTTATTAGAAATGTATATGTTTTATTTTATATTTGCAAAATCAATATTATAATAGTTAAATATTGTGAATAAAGTAGAGTTTATGGTAATGTAGAGATAGTGCTAGAGATGAATTATTGTTTCATTTTTAGAGTAGAGATAGAGATGTTGTAGAGATAGAGATGAGGGGTTAGAGATGGCTTAAGATAGTATATGTTTGAAAGACTCTCAATCATTATTATATGATAATATATGTTCGAAAAATTCTAAAAATAATAATAATATTTCTAAATTCATTTGGTTTGTACAACTACAAATTAAGTTATTGTAACTAGGTCTGTAAATGAACTGAACGTTCAGCGAACCGTTCATGAACCGTGCGGCGGGAAGTTCGTTTATGTTCGTTTATTTATTAAATGAACGAACATGAACAAGATTTTGCGTTCGTATAATTAAATGAACGAACACGAACAAAGGGCTTGTTCGTTCATTTATCTTCGTGAACGTTCGATTATATGTTCGTTTATGTTCGTTCATTTATGTTCGAACATAGGGCAAGTTGAATATGTTACGAAGATTATTGAAGTTGTTTGGATTTCAAGAAGATTATTGAAGTTGTTTGGATTTCAAGAAGATTGTTTTGTTGAACAAATTAACTTTAAGACTTTATTATGTTCATATAGCTTATTTACGATTTATGTATGTTTTTTCGTATTCGAACAAATTAACTCTGAAGTTGCAGGTTATATTAATGAATTTTAAGTTGTTATTCTTGTTGTTTACTTTTTTTTTACATTAATTTGTTGTGTTCGAATAAGTTTATTTTTTGTGTTTGTGTTGTTCGTTTATTATATTCGTTTATGTTCGTTTTTGTTCATTTTATGTTCGTTTATCATTTAAATGAACGAACATGAACAAACTATATTCGTTTACGTTCGTTTATGTTCGTTTGTGTTAACACTTTATCAACAGATTATCAAAAACTAACTTGGTAGTGTTCATTTCTATTTTAATTTGATATAATTTGGTAATAATTTAATATTACTTAATACCTTGTCTTTAAAATTATTAAAATTTATAAATTTAACGTATGAGTGTCTTTTTTTATTTCAGTTTCATCTTTGTTGATTAAATATTCTTCATAGTTCACATTATAACTTTTACGTTTTTATTTATTATTCTTTCATTATCTGACGATTATTTCAAACTTTCATCACATCATTACTTACTGGTGTCATCGTAACAACATTGTTGCTTATATGACGATTTTTCTCAGACTTCCATCGCAGTTTTGCTCATGGCCGCCATCACAATAATGTTTCCCTCATCTGTCATCATCACTGTTTTTCTACAAACGAAAACCCTTAGAACACTACCTTTTCATCGTTTCCATCAGTCGCTCTTATAGTCGTCTGATGTCTATTGGCCCAAACTTTTGGTTGTCTGTAGAGAACCTAGTTTTCAAAATCAACCCAATAACTCGCATAAGGTGCATCTGAATCTGGTGGTTGTAAGGCCTAAACGATGCGGTAAGGGATTGGCGAGGGGTGTATGATCAGTGTGGAGAGCCAGTGACGACGAGTGAACAAACATGCAGTGATGATGACCAAGATATAGGAGAGAGAATTTGGAATTTTATGTTGGATCAAATTGATATAATTTTTAAATATTAAAGATTTTTTGAATTATGATCCATTTGATAGAAGGTAGTATAAGTTTTGAGGATTAAAATTATTATTACATCATATCATTTTTATTTTTAAATAAATTTAATTCTTAATATATTTTTTATATATATTTGAAAGTGAAAAAAAATCAGTGGACGAAATTTTATTTTATCCTTATTAAGACTAAATTTATTTGATTCATTATTTTGATAGCGATTCCATTTCATAAATACATGGTCTGGAGAACCGGTGGCCCAAAAACAAGGACAAAATAAACAAACTGGTGAATTGAATAAATAGGCTTCGTTTTATTTTTCCAAATACAATATATATCTGATGATGATGATAGTAATAATTAAAATGGATAAGAAATAAGCAGATTAATAAGAGGCTGGTAGGGAGGCAGCGAAGGCGGCCGCTCATTCCCAATCTAATCCCCAATATTATTATCTTCCCCACGTCCTAAAGTTTAGGAAAACGACTATTCCTCTTCACTTCATTTGCACATCAAAACTTTATGTTTAGGTGATAAATTTTTAATTTCTTTTATAGAATAATTTGTAATTTTTTTTAGTATTTTTCAGTTTCAAGGCTTCACTTTAATTAATCTGGATCGATTTAGATCGTACATTTAATATTAATGGGTGAGTCTTATGATAAGGATTTTCTACATACACAGGATTCTAACACGAGACTTTGCTTAAGTGATATTAAGATGCTTATTACTTGAACTAACACCATCAATAATAATTTATAAAATTTTAAAAACAAAGATAAGTTATTAATAATATATGTAAATATATAAAAAATTTAAAACTTTTAAAAAAATAAATACTCTTAGTTGCCCTCGATCTATTACTACCGCCTATACTTGTTCCTATTTGTTCAGACTTGGAGCTTCTCCTGCAACAAGTTTTCTCACTTCTTGGCAAATCTATGCGTTTCAAAAAGCACTCGACAATTACATATATAAGTATGTCCAATTAATTATTATAATTAATACATTTTGTCGAACTAATGTACTCAAAACATTTTATTGCACTCTCCATTTATGCACGTAAAGCACTCTCTTGTAATCGTAAAAAATTCTGTTCCTTTATTTGATGGAGATGGTAACTCATATTATGGATATATGTTTTTTTATTTATTATTATAGACTCAAATAATGTTTAGATTCAAATATTGAAGTTAATAATTATCAGTTCCTTTCATTTTTTTCAATTCATTTAATTTTCTATTTTTATAATTTTCCCACTCTTAACATGTAACGAGTTTTCTTAATTTGTTTTGTTTTCTCCAACAAGCAAAAACCTGGATGTAAGGGAATTATAAATGGCTAGGCCAGATATTGGCTTCGAAAGAAATGTCCAAAGCAAAGTTGCCTAATTTGAGATGATAACTACCTACAAACAGAATGCAATGGAAGGATTATACAAACTAGTTAATTAACGTATATTACAATCATGTTCTCGTCAAATGGATCACTAGGATCCACCAATCAGCAGCTTCATTCTCGACCCTCAGGCAGCAGCAATCGACTCCGGATTAGTTGCAGCTGCCACCTTTGGTGGAGGAGGACCACCGGGAGCACCTTTCTTGGCCTCTGGTGGCGGTGGGGGTTTTGTGTTCATGTGGGGAGGGGGATTATGCTTGAGCTTCACAAGTATCTTTCGCATCCTTGCGAGATCAGTTGGCTTTCCGGGCTTAGGTCCCTGGATCACAACGATGGAAGGTTGCTTTTCTTTATCCTTCTTTCCCTTCTCTATAGTCGGCAACTCGTGAGGGACGAGCTCTGCAATTGCTTTCCAGTAATTTTTCTCCGCCTCGCCATGGAACTTCTCCCGGTTTTCTACGTATATCTGCCAATATACCATCCAAAATATGAACTTGATGGATAGAGTAAATTCAATGGAACAAACACATGGGGGTACGAGAATTATGATTTTGATCCATCACCTTCTCCTTGTTTCTGTTGGATGTTCTGTTGTTTTCTGCAGCTATACTTATCTTCTTATAGAATTCAGCTTTGTACTCATCTGCTTCCTTTATTATTTGCTCCACCATCTCCTTCTCCTTCTTATCCTTCTCCTGCAGTCGGATCAGGTTCTTTCTGCGAATCAATCAATCCAATCTCAGTAGCGTCCCTTTTAAAAATATAATAAAGGATAAAAAGTCTTCCATATTTATATAAAAAGTTGAGTTAATCGTAAGCTTACCTGCGCCACTCTCTCAAAGCAGAGCCTTCTTCTGGCTCCATCTCAGCTGGTGGAGGCAAGGTCGGCCCATCCGATCCTCCAGAATGATCTCCGTTGACTCCCTCTCCGTTCTGCTCCGATGAGAAAGCAGAGTGTCCACCGCCGCCACCGTAGATCGGAGGTAGAGAAGGTGTTTCGGGCATCGATTGAGATGAGAATACGACATCTGCACCAGTACCGTGGGACTGATTGTTGAACATCGGAGGGGGATCAGCTACCGAGTCCTTGACCGAGTCGGCGTCGAAGGACTGGGATTGGTGGGAAGCGAGGCGAGGGTCGTAGCCTAAGTAGCCATCATCATCAAAAGAAGACATCGATTTTTGAAGGCTCTATTTGTTCCGACCAGACCGACCCTACCCTATCGCTGCTGTTTCAGTGAATCTCCGTCGCTCGGTATGTGTTTCTTGTTCTTCGCGGGCTCTCAAAAATGGCATTCAAGTTGACGAAGAACTGACAGATGGCAGTCCAAAAATAGCTGGAATCTAGATTTTGAATAATTGAGCTGATGTCATGAATCAGTGTGTGTTGGGATACTGGTTCGACTTCGACCTTTTTCAAAAACCATAAAACATAAGCCTGCTTTTAAACACCCATTGAAATGACCACTAACCAGATAACCCATAAAAAAAAAAAAAGAACCGTTACCTCATTGTATCTCAGAATAGTTCCACGAGCGTAGAGCCCGTTAAACATAACAATTAAATGCCAAATCAGAAAGAAAATTGAACAAGATAAGAAGAACGAGATTGGGGTTCGAGAAAATTGGACGTGACGCGCTCTCCTTGGCGACCCTTCACCATTTTAGGCTCGAAAGAAGTCTTTTTTTTTTTTTTGGATAATTTGATTTTATAACTCAAAGAGCAGTGAACTGCTACAAAATACAATCAATGTTTGGATTTACAAAGATCATCAAAAAAGCAAAAAGGCTAATAAAGATAGAGTTAAATAATACCCCATTGGTTACAAAGAGAAATATTAGCATGATGTAAGCGATTAATGTGCCTTCCCCTTAGTTTGAATCCAACAGTTTCCTTGATCGAACTGAACATAGCTTTAACCGTTGAAGTTTGAGATTGAAAAATCTTCTTGTTTCTTTCTTTCTAGATTGTGTAGATCAAAGCATTCGAGGAGAGTTTCATGATTAAAGAGAGAATGGAGGATCCCTTCCACTTTACCGTTGCCCAAGCGTAGAGAGCATCCCATGAATGATGGGTAAACCGAAGACCACAATAGGAGAAGATTGCAAACCACAGTGCAGTAGCAATCTTGCTCTCGAAAAATAAATGGTTTCTAGATTCCATACCATTACCACAAAATGTGCACTGACAGTCAGTGACGATCCCCATTCGATGGAGCCTCTCTTTAGTGGGGAGTCGGTCGAGGAATGTCATCCAAGAAATAATGCTATGTTTGGGAATAAGAAGAGAGAACCAAAGAATGGATTGCCAATGAACTTTCGGGTTCTTAACCCTAATGTCATTCCAAATGTGACCAATTTTCTTGGAGATAGAAGGCAGAATTGAGGAGGCTTCAGTCCTAAGCATCAAAATCTGTTTTAGGCTCCAGCTCATGTATGGTTTGACTGAAACAGACAAAAAAATTATTAGTTTTAAACTTGTAGCTCTTAAGCCAAGCTACCCACAAGGAACCTTCACCAGCTAGAATGTTCTTTATTAGGCTCATCATGCAAGCTTTGTTCCAAGTTTTTAAATCTTTAAGACCAAGACCTCCCTCAGATTTAGGAAGGCAGATTTTCTGCCAACTTACTCTAGCACCACCTGCAGGTTTATAAGCCCCTTTCCAAAAGAATTGAGAACATAATTGTTCTATCGTTTTAAAGATAAAGAGCGGTAAGAAAATTTGCATGCACCAATAGTTAGTAATGCTAAATAAAACATTTTTAATGAGATCTAATCTACCTGCATAACTTAAAGTCTTACCAGACCAGTGATGAAGACGATTTTTAATGATGGCAATGAGAGCAAAACAATCTTTTTCAGTAATTTTCCCTAGTAACCAGTGGAATGCCCAAATACCTTATTGGCAATCTACCAAGATTGAAACCAGTAATCATTTTCAGATCATTAAGAGTGGAATTAGAAACACCAGTAGTAAAGAGTTCACATTTTGAAGCATTTAATTTAAGGCCAGAAATTTCATAAAAAGTATCAAGAACAGAGGTGACTCCGATGATAGAGTCAACAGAACCTTTGCAGAAAATTAAAAGATCATCAGCGAAGGAGAGGTGAGTAAGACCAATGCGCTTGCATTTGGGATGATAACTGAAAAGGCCTTTAGACGCACCCAGATTCAAGAGCTTGGATAGAATATTCATAGAAAGAACAAATAAGTAAGGGGATAGGGGATCCCCTTGCCTAACACCTCTTGCTCCTCTAAAATACCCAGTTAGACTCCCGTTTAAAGAAACTGAAAAGCTTGCAGTCAAGTAGCAAGTTTCAATCCAAGAAGTAAAATTAGGAGGGAGGTTCATAGCCTTTAAAATAGCAGATAAAAATCCCAATTAAGAGAATCAAAGGCTTTATGGAGGTTAATTTTCATTGAACAACGAGGAGAAATATTCTTTCTATTGTATCCTCTCACTATTTCCTGAGCAAGAAGGGTGTTATCAACAATGGATCTGCCCTTCACGAAAGCGGTATGGTTGAGGGTGATAAGATGAGGAATTAAAATGGACAGTTTGTTAGCAAGGATTTTAGTAATAGCTTTATAAACCACAGAACAACAAGAAATAGGTCTAAAATCTTTAACCGTACTAGGATTAGGAATCTTAGGAATCAAAGCGATAGTTGTGGCATTGAAAGCAAGAAGAATAAAAGATTCCTGAAAAAATTGTAAAATAGCAGCAGTGGTGTCATCACCAATAATAGCCCAAGACTTTTTAAAGAAAAGGGGAGAATAACCATCAGGGCCAGGGGCTTTGTCATTTCCTTGACTAAAGAAACCATCTTTAATTTCATTCTTAGTAACGTCTTTGCTAAGATTTGCAGCCAAGTCAGCAGGCAAAGAGGAATGAAGGAGATCTTTGAGCACATTATGATCAATACACTTAACCATTGGGTCAGTAGAGCCAAGGATATTTGAGAAATAATTGATCACCTCAGAGGACATATCATCAAAAGATTCTAATCTATTGCCATAATCGTCAATAAGCAGTCTAATGGTGTCTCTTTTATTTTTAAGGGCAACAGAAGAATGGAAGAATTTAGAACAGTTATCCCCTTTTTTGAGCCACTGAACCTTAGATTTTTGCTTGAGGAACATAGCTTCAGCATCCTCAAGAAACTTGAGTTCTTTATGCAAGGGAATTTCCAAATCATAATAGGCTTTCCCTTTGAGGGTTTTAAGCTACTGCTGATCTAGATCTACTCTTTTAAGATTAACACGAGAAGAGAGATCACTAAAGAAAGAATTATTAAGGGCTTTAAGGAGAGGTTTAAGGCGTTTAAGCTTGGAAAAAAGAATCTGCATAGGGTTGCCCTTAATAGGGATAAGCCAAGAATGTTCAATTAGAGGAAGAAAATTAGAGTGGAGAGTCCAGAAATTAAAAAACTTAAAAGGCTTAGGACGATTAACATGTACCTCTTTGTGAGTCCAAAGAAGGGCAAGGCAATGGTCAGAAATGCCAGGAGCAAGGAACTCGACATGGGAAGAGCGAAAGGAACTGATCCAATTATGGTTGATAAAGACCCTAACTAGTTTTCTAGCAAGGAAATAAATTTGTTGTTTATTGCTCCAAGTAAAAGTAGGGCCGGTAAAGGGATGATAAAAAAGATCAAGATCCGAGAGAACATCCTGAAAATCTCTCATATCGGAGGGAGAAGGACCCAAAAGATCAAAGTCAGAAGATTCATAAGAGTTTAAGATGATGTTGAAATCACCGCCTATGATCCAAGGGAAATGGCCCAAGATCCTATCTAAATCCCGTAGTTGCTGCCACATGAGCCTTCTTTCCCTACCATCGTTGCTACTATACACAACAGTAAGGATAAAAGGGGAACCAGAATGCAAACCTTTAATGGTTAAGCATTGTTTGGAAGCATGACAGAGAGTGAAATCTATACCCTTTCTCTATAAGATCCAAATTCAACCATTATGCGCAAAATCATAATTAGTGAAGGCATTCCAATTAGCAAATTTATTTTGAAGAATAGACAAAGATTTGGCAACTTTAACTCTGGTTTCAAGCAGACAAAGAATATCAACATTATTAGAATTAGCTCTTCTAATGACACTAGCTTGCTTACGAAGACAATTAAGTCCTCTAATATTCCAAAAGACGCAAATCATGAAGAAGAATCTAGGGTAGTTACACTACCTTCTAACTCAACTTTTGTAACTTTGGTTAACTTATCTTTCTTTTTTAGCTTTAATTCATTAATAAGATTGGCAACTCCTAAGGAAGCTGATCTAATTTTCCTAGGCTGACTTTCAGGAAATTTAGAAGGGTTTTCCACAGTACTTAGAATGTCAAATATATTGTTAGATTCTGATGAGGTTGATTTGTTTTTTGATGGTATGCCCCTACCACGAATAAGATTAGGAATCTGAGAATAGCTTAAAATTTCAGAAGAACCAGCAGTAGATTTATTGGTAGTCAATTCTTTACTTACGTAAGGAACTGTGTTAGGAACATCATGAAATTTAGGAGAATCTACCGAACCTTCAGCTAATGTAACAGTTGGCTTAGGCACAGAGTCAACTGAAACACTTACGACTGGGATAGGAATAGAGGGTTTAGGTTCTTACAATAGTTTAATGCCTCCAACAACTGGAACAGACGGAAGAGAAGGATTAGGAACTTCCTTCTTTTTTCAAATTTGTTGTTTAACAGGTGCTATATTTTTCTGGTAATTACAATTCTTATCGCTATGACCAAAGACACCACATTTTTTACAGGAAGAAAGGAGCCAAGACACATCGACCACTACAGTGATGAACTTACCATCCTTAAGGACCACATCAATAGATTTGGGGATAACATCATTAACCCCAATCTCAATACAAACTTTAGCAAATTCCAAGTGAGTTTTAGCAGCGATGACAGAATCCATTGTGAGGGGGGAGCGAATGGCACTAGCAATATAACTCAAACCAGTTTTAGAGAAGAGTTCAAGGGGAACGTTAAAAAGATTAACGCAGCGAGATAAGTCAAAATGTAATCTTTTCCAGTTGGGTTCCCACTTCCTAAGGATTAAGGGCTTATTGAGAATATGCCAGGGTCTTGATTCGAGAACCCAATCCCTAATAGTTTCAGAATCGAAGGAAAAAATGTAGTGATTATTACCTGCGAAACTTACCTGAGTTTTACTGCCCCCGAGTGCCATTTTCCAGAGGTTATTGACGATACGTTGCATAGATGAAAGATTTGGAGCAGCACCGAGACATTGGCCAACAATTGAGAGCTTCCATTCATCAATTCCAGCGTCTAAGACCTCAGGAGGAGGGTGAACGGAGATAGACCCATCGCTAACCCTAGGTGGGTGATATTCTAAATCGAGGCCCTCTGAGCAGCCAAAGAGTTTTCTCCAGTCCATTGGAGATCGTTGAAGGAGTGAAGGACGGACGAGGAGAGAAGGAAAACTAAGAGCACCGAGAGAGGAGGGCTTGAACACCGGAGACACGATCGAAGTTTTCAGGAATTTTTAACCTTGCTAACGTGCACCCAGAGAAAAACCTAATCGTGCGCCAATGGACTAAAAATGTTTATTATTATAGGCTTTTCACCATTGGGCCTTCGTTTACCCATTTTAGCCTGACCCAATGTTCTATGTTCACCCCTGCGCGAAAGAAAGGGAGAAAACCAGATAGTGGATTAAAAATGTTTATTATTATAGGCTTTTCACCATTGGGCCTTCGTTTACCCATTTTAGCCTGACCCAATGTTTTGTGTTCACCCCAGTAATCATTTTACGTTGGTTAAATTGGAGTTCTGGTCCCTTTATTATGTTTCATCAAATAAGAGTGGCGTTTTTTGCATCAAATATAAATTTATATTTTAAGCATCACTATGACCTGGAAATATACGAAAACCGAAGGAAGGTTAGAATCTTAAGTTGTCAGAATTTATAAACATAATTATTATCGTATTATAACAGTTTTTGCTCATGTAATTTCAACTGCCTTTATTGTAAGCTAATTTCAGAGGCTGTGATGCCGTAACAGCTGTTCACATTAGATATTATCTGCAACTCCTACGTTAAAACATATGCCACTTTATTTTTCCTACTATTGGAGTTTCTTAAAAAATAAACTGAAAACAATTATTCGAAGAATTCCTTTGATTCCAAAGCTTGTCACATGTTTGCGTAGAACACACTCCAAAACTGAAAGGGAAAAGCCAAGCTTCTTTAGTTTGAAACACAGACCGGTATAGTTCCACGACGACATTTTTTTTGTTTAATTTGGTTTTAGTCCCTCTACCATGTGGAAATTTCGGGTTTAATTCACAAATTTTAAGTTTACATAGCAGGGTTTCCTTATTCTTACAATCTTAAACTAAACGAAAGAAGCGAACAAACCGTGAGACTGGTAAGAGGTCAAACGCGTCCAAAGGCAAACTAGAGGCTTTAAACAAAGCCCGTGTTTTTGCTTTCCTCTATATATAGAAACTGTAACATTCCCCTTTTTGTTTCATACAATACATTTGACATTCCCTCCACCAAAACATTCTCAACTATCTTCAAACTCAATTCCCATAGAAAATTAGCCTACATCTCTATTTTAACCATGCCTTCCTTCAAATTCCCTTTCTTCCTCTTCCTTTCTTCTCTCTTCCTCCATTCTTCTCTGGGTACGTAATTGTAGACGGAAACATCTCTTTTACATATATGTATATGTTCACGTAGTGAGCGTTTTTTTCTTATACTATATCGTATTCATGTTGTGAATTCCTGCAGCTGAGATTGTTTGCGAAGATTTGCCCCATGATGTCTGTGCGTTTTCGATATCATCTTCGGGGAAGAGATGTTTGTTGGAAACGGCGGTGGATGAAGATGATAAGGTAGAGTACCAATGCCGGACTTCGGAAGTGATGGTGGAGCGAATGGCGGAGCATATCGAGAGCGACCAATGTGTGCGTGCATGTGGTGTTGATAGGAACGCCGTTGGCATTTCATCCGATTCCCTTCTCGAGCCACAGTTCACCAACAAGCTTTGTGCCCCTGCCTGCTCCCACAACTGCCCCAACATTGTCGATCTCTTTTTCAATTTGGCCGCCGGTGAAGGTACTGAATTTTCCAAGCTTTTCTTTCTTTATAGGTCAAATTATGGTTTAGGTCCCTCAGCTATGCTTTAATATGAGATTTAGTCCCCCACAGTGGGAGCTATGTTGTATTCAATCAGCGGAATAAAAATGAATGGTATATCCCGATTGTTGGTTGCAGGAGTGTTTTTGCCAGATCTTTGTGAGGCTGTTCTCATCAACCCACGGCGGTCCATGGCGGAGTTCATGTCGAGCTCTGGGGCTGCCGCTGGTCCCGGTCCCATCGAAGCAGAGTTGTTGGAGGGTGATGCTTTAGCTTCAGTATCAGCTCCAGGTCCAGGTCCAGATTCCATGGAATGATCAAATTCATTTGTGGTTTTTTGTTACCATTGAATAATCAGTTCCATCAGAATTGCATTGATTCGAGATGTGAATTGATTTGAGGAATAACTGCTGAGAAAAGAGAGAAATCGAGGTTTGTTTATAGGAGTGGAGTTTGATCACAGGGCTGCTGCGTATTGTTTTCCGGATAGAGTTTCATAGACCACAATGACATTTTCATGTCTTCCATTCCACTCATTATAAATAAAACAACTATTCTCTCCCAATAAACTGGAGTTTACCCAATTCTTCCATCATTCATTTTATTGCATTCTTTTATAGAAGTATGCTTTTAGTTTCGTCCCTGCAATTATAACTACACTTATTACGCGTCTTTTACCCAAAAAAAATCATAAAAAATATGATTTTAATTTTTTATATAATATTTAAATTATTCATAACTTTATATCTTTAAAATAATTAAATAGAATCGGTTACACACTTCAAAACATATAAACTTAAAATCAATAAAAAAAAAGCAAAGAAAAACTTTATTTTACTTTTTTATGTTATGAATTGATTATTTTTACTTAGGATGAGTTTGCTAAGCTTGACGAGTACCGCTTAGTACAATTAACGATCAGTATCGTTCAACATCATTAATTTAATTTATAAAATTTTAAAATCCTCAAGGACTCTGTAACACCCTAAATTAGTATGATACACAGTCGACCGACTAGGATGCTACCCGGAACCACTGAAGGGGCTAACCAAAATTTTTCTCATTAATTTACTTTATAAAGGACTATTTTCATAAGAAAACCAACCATAAAATATAATTAAAACTTTACATTGGGGAGCTCCTGAAATAATTATAAACATTCAAAATAATACGGACCGACCTGAAATAAGTTTGTGACTCAACTTTACAACAAGGTTTATAAATATACATGCCCTTCAAAACTTGAGACGTACTCTGATCTGCTCTTGGTTTGGACCTCGATCACTCTAGGGCTTCCTCAAAAGCTCCACCTAATTTGCGTAAGGAAAAAAATTCCAAACACTGAGCTAACTAGCTTAGTGCCACACTAACAACTAGAACATACTAAAAGTGTGTCACTGAAAGGCTCAAGCTATCAAGTCTATTGCACTAGTTAGTATACTTGTATACTCACTCTCTACTCTATGGTATACATCATGGTGCGGCTGAGGGTTCTGCATCTCGGAGCTCCACACACCCTTCTAGTCTACCGAGGATGATTGCTCGGAATCTCTGCATCGGTCAAAACCCTCGACTAACCCACCCCTTGCGAGTGTCAGGACTTGGCCCTAGTTAGTCAGCTTAAAGTGCCTTGCACACTCCCTAAGGATATCCAAACTGATTTTATACTTTTGACACTGCTAGCTTTTCTAAAGGAACTTGGGTGTCATGCTCGTTTCCCGAGCATTCAAACAAGGTTAGTCTTATTTCACCATACCTTATCCCGTTTCTACGTTTGAATTAAGCATTATTATTGTTCTCACTTGTAGTCTTATTTTGGAAGAAATTAAAAGCTTTTGGGAAACCTCGCTTGCATCTATAATTTATCTCGATTTAAAGCCCAAAACATAACATTGGTATCAGTACTGGCCTTACAGTATCGATACTGGGACCTTAGGTATCGATACTCCCTAGAGTACCGATACCAAAATGGCATTCTGGAATCCCGATCTCAATACCAAACCCCCTAGTATCAATACACCTTTAAGGGGAATCGATACTGTTCTTTAACAACTCTAGATTTTATGTCTGAAACATGAACATTATCAATACTACTTCTTACAGTATCTATACTCACCCTTAAACATGCCCTATTTAGGCACAAATTAGTTATTTAAACTCCCTAATCTTTTTCTTTGAGGTTTCCTAATTGTTATTAAGTCTTATATGAATCATAAGGGTCATAAATAAGCCTTTAAACATGCTAAAATAACTTTAATAAGAATCTACCATGAAAACTTACTCAACAAGCTTCAACCACAACTCTCAAGCTAAAACTCATTTCTAATGACCCACAATCAATATGAGGAATTTGTGAGTGTGTTATTGTTTTCCTTGGCTGCTAAAACCTTTCCAAAGGGTCACCATTTCTTTACCTCTAGCCTTGGAACTTTCTCCCACTTCCTTAGCTAAACAAAGGTAAGAAAAATGGCTTACTAACTCATCTAAGACTTAAAACAAGATTAAGGATGCTCCAAACAACTCAAATTTACTAGAATAAACTTTAATCATTTGATTCCCTTAACCTTTCTTAAAATCCCATTTCTTAAAATAAGCAAGATTAAGGCTCTTACCTTGATTGACTCTAACTAGGCTTGAGATTCAAAAGGCTTCTACCTTTTTGTTTACTTTAGGAGTGTAAAAGAAGAATAAAGAGAATAGGAAATGGAAGAGTGTTTGGGAAGTTTGGTTCACGTAAAATCCTTCTATAATAAGGGGGTTTTATCCTCTAAAATAAGCTATGCTTAAACTACACTTTTGTTCCCTCTCCTTTTAATTCCAACTTAAAACCACCATTAACTTTTAACTGTTGGGCCGAACTTAAGCCCAATATCCTTTTGACTCGGTCAAAACTAATCTAGGAGATCTAATGGGCTCGGCTTATGGATCTCGGGTTAACCCAAACTACTAATCCAGAATTTAGGGTATTACAGACTGAATGTATAATTATAAATTAGTTAAAAATAAAATATTAATTATATTATTTTCCATAATATTTTTAAAAACAATTGGATCAAATACCAACCTCTAAATTAAAAACCCCTAAATATTTAGGGGTTGGTATTTGATCCAATTATTGTTAAAAAAGATTATGAAAAAAATAATGTACTTAATATTTTATTTTAAATAATTTACCTTTAGATTTTTAACTAATCTATGATTATACTTTAAGTCATTTAGGATTTAAATTTCTATAAATTAAATTATTGGTGCTCAATGGAGCTCATCATTAGTGGTGCTCAGAGGTACTCATCGAGCATTGTAGATTTTTTCTTTTCCTTATATATATATAAAAAAGTTTTTTTTGTTAATATAATAAATTGTTTGTTAATTCAAAACTTTACAAATGTAATTATATAAATAGATTAAAAATGAAAATATCATATAAAAACATTAGTTTTACACAGATTTAGGATTGTTTGATGAGTATAAGTGAAAGATTAAGATTAATTCCTTATATTTTCGGTGAATATTTTTTCATTTCCTGCTATTAATCTCAATCTTCTAATTTCACTCACCTAATGATTTTAAATTTGTGTAAAACTAAAAAGTTTCACATTATCTAATGAATCCTGAATATACAATATATATATATATATATATATTTACATCCTTCAATCTCGTGATGCTAAGGCGTGATATTTTTCTCTATTTGATCTTGTGACGTCCTTGTTACGGTCGTAGTCATGGTTGTTCACCTTCGATACCCCATCCATTAGAATGCTTAGTGTGTAATCATCTAGTCAAACCGTTCAGATATCACAATATAATTATTTTTTTTCAAAGGATGTATGTGATATGATGTATAACGTTATCATTTTCAAACTATATAATCTTTCCTTTCTTTTCTAATACGTGATTAATGTTAATATTTTTCTAGGAATAATATTAACGCTAATTATAATAAAATTATTAGCAAATTATTATATAATTAAGTTGTCAAACACTCAAATTAAATTTTGTTTTTAGAGAAGTTGTCAAATTGTTGAAGTTTTCCATGATGTGGACTTATTACTCACTCGTTAACTTATAAAGTAATAATGAGAACAAAATATAATCGTGATTAAAAAAAAAGAACGAGAGTATCATGCTATTTTTGATATTTCTCCAAGGATAAAAGACAATTTTACTCCTATAGTTTTTTTTTTCAGATATAGTTTTAGTCTACAATGGAAATCAACGATCACGTTTATAAATAATAAACAAGAACCTGCGACACGCAAATAGGGAAAACATTACAACATGATTGCGGACCAATTTTATTACCAAGCATTACCAACATAAACAATACAGGTTTTGACGTTTGGCAACAGGTATAATGAATAATGTATATATTATTACATCCACAATATCTTATCTTGTCTTGGAACGATGAAAGTGAAATTCAAACATAAACCAAAATAATTTTTAATTAAAAAAATCCAAATTAAATGAAATCAAAAAATATATATGTACGTATTGTCATAAAAAAAACATTTCCAACAACGATTTTCGTTGTCAATTAATTATCTCTAGCATTGTGGTAGATCCGCCGGCGGTGGAGGCAAGATTGTTTCCGGCGTCGGCCCATTCTCAACCAGGAACGCAGTGGCAAGGCCCACCGGCAAGTGCGCGTCTAAGTGGCAATGCAGTATCCATGCACCTGCACATGCACAGTTTGAGATCATGTATTAGGAACAATAATTTAAAGAAACCTCTTGGTCTAATTCTAGTCTTAGTCCTTCCACTATATATTTATTTGAGATATATCCTATTAAGATGACATTTAAATATTAACTAATTATTTCAGTAAAAGAAGAAAAAAAAAAAGGATTGATTGAACTTTCATTTTCATCTCCACTGTTACCCTAAATTAACAATTAGAGTTGACTAATCTAAGTTAAGAAATTAAGTAAATGATAGCGAAACTAACCTGGATTATTAGCAACGAATCTGATGACGGCCCATCCTCCTACTGGCACAGCAACTGTGTTGCGTATCTGTGGGTTAATCAAATTGAATTTCTTTCTATCAGTAATAGGGTTGTAGTTTCCAAACCCTTGAGCCAATATATGGAAATCAAAGCCATGTAGGTGCATGGGATGATTCTCCGGTCCGATGATATTAGTGTTTTGAAATATTATCTCCACAGTCGCGTTGAATTTAAGCTCGGTGATCTTTGTACTTTTTGGAGCGAACAGCATCGGAAGGTTGTTGTTAACGGTATCGTTGGCGTAGTCGAATTTGATGGGGGGCTTGATGGGGAAATCAGTGGTGTAAACGCCTTTGACGTTGTGGT